GGATGGATGGATGGAAGGATGGATGGAAGGAAGGATGGATGGATGGAAGGATGGATGGAAGGAAGGATGGATGGAAGGAAGAATGGATGGATGGATCTAAAAAACCTCTTTAGGTGTTTTAAACTGATTAGTTTAGCTCCGGTCGCAGCTAACCTTCGGCTCAAGAGAAGAAGCTCTTATTTACCTCTGAGACAAACCGAAGTGTTTCACAAAACGTCCAAATGTTGCTTAAAGGTTCATCAGGTTGGACGAGACCTCGGTGAGACCTCGGAGCGGGATGAAGCTCTGGGTTGGATGGACCATTCCACAGCCACAGCTTTAGCTGCTGTTTTTCTAATTTGGGCTTGAGCAACATACAAACAGCCTCCAGACTGTAACAAATGAGCTTCAGTGCTGGTTTACTTGAATCTGCTTCATTTCCTTCTTGTTTTTGCACATTTTCCAAACATCCTGAACCACTGAACCACTGAACCACTGAACCACTGAACCGGTTGTTGCTTTGTCTCGTTGCAGATCTTCTGTAGTTCTGTCGACACAGAGGAGACCGGAGAGAAGAAATGGCTTCAGATAGCGGTCTGAACGTGACATTGACGCTGAGGCTGCTCATGCATGGGAAGGTAATCAACAGACGGGTCCAAGTTCTCACGTAAAGACCCGTCTGGTTCCTGACGTGGTTCTGCTCGAAACCTGAAAACATCTTCTTCAAATGATCCTTTCCCTTCTTTTACAGGAAGTCGGCAGCATCATTGGAAAGGCAGGTTTTATATTTAATCCACGGACGTTCTACGAGTTTGTTGTTGAGTCTTGTTACATTAACTGCTTCTGTCCTGGACTTTGCAGAAGGGAGAAACGGTGAAGAAGATGAGGGAGGAGGTGAGGCTTTGTGTGGAAACAAAAGGTCGTGAATTCAGGCGGCCTGGTTGGAGCTCTCACAGTTAATGTGGGTTTTTACAGAGCGGCGCTCGCATCAACATCTCAGAGGGTTCATCTCCAGAGAGGATAGTGACCATCACAGGACCTACAGAGGGCATCTTCAAAGCTTTCTCCATGATCGCACAAAAGTTTGAGGAGGTACAACAAAATCTAGAACAACCCCAGATCTGATCAATCAAACCAGAACGCAGTGATTTCATAAAACCATGTTTTACTCACCGTGGAACAAAGAGATCAGATGTTGGAACCAAGAAATTCAACCACCGATGGTAGAAACATCTCTAGAGTTCTTCAGATCCACGTTTCCTCTGAAGCTCTTCTTCTAACATCAGTCTGGGAACATCCAGAACCTCAGGAGACCAGTTGTTAGAGGTTTAGGAGGACCTGAGAAGACCAGTTGCTGGAGGTTTAGGAGGACTTGAGGAGACCAGTTGTTGGAGGTTTAGGAGGACCTGAGGAGAACGGTTGTTGGAGGTTTAGGAAGACCTGAGAAGACCAGTTGTTGGAGGTTTAGAAGGACTTGAGGAGATCAGATGTTGGAGATTTAGGAGGACCTGAGTAGGCCAGTTGTTGGAGGTTTAGGAGGACCTGAGAAGACCAGTTCTTGGAGGTTTAGGAGGACTTGAGGAGACCAGATGTTGGTGATTTAGGAGGACCTGAGGAGATCAGTTGTTAGAGGTTTAGGAGGACCCGAGAAGACCAGTTGTTGGAGGTTTAGGAGGACTTGAGGAGACCAGTTGTTGGAGGTTTAGAATGACTTGAGGAGACCAGTTGTTAGAGGTTTAGGAGGACCTGAGTAGACCCGTTGTTGGAGGTTTAGGAGGACCTGAGAAGACCTGTTCTTGGAGGTTTAGGATGACTTCAGGAGACCAGTTGTTGGAGGTTTAGGAGGACCTGAGTAGACCC